ATGGGGATGAAAAGAGAAAGAGAAAATAGAAAGAATACATAAAAGGTATATAAGGTGGACATTGGGCCTAGACTGGAGCATGCCCGGATATATGCTAAGGTAGGAAACTAAGAGAAACAAGATGAAAATAAGTGCTGGTAAAAGGGCGATGAAGTACGAAGAAAAATTGGAGAGTAGAGAAGGAAACGAGATCACAAGAGAGTGCTGGAAGGAAATAAGAGAGAAGGTCAGGAAGGAAGGAAAAATCAAAATGGAAAGAGGAAAGAAGGAGTTTCTATGAGAGAAGAGGATATGCAGTCGAGGAGATAAAAAGGAAGAGAAGGGAGGGATGGAGCAGCATTGAAGATTTAACAAAAAGGGACAAAGACATTCAGATTCAAGAGAGAGACGAAAGGATAAGAGAGTCAAAGTACAATAAATAGTACAAGAAAGTAGCAGAAAACAGGAGGCCGGAATACCTGGAGAGAAAAGGGAAAGAAAAGTCTATGATTAGGATAGCAAGATTCAGATTAGGAAATGAGATGAGAAGTGGAAGATACTGAGAGCCAATGGAAAAAACATGCTGCAGAATATGTGGCGCGGAGGAAGAGTCATGGGAAGCGTCAATTGACGATCCGAATTTACACCAAACCTTTGATGGTCTTTTTGATGGTATTTTTACACCGAAAATTGGGTGTTTTTTCCGTATATCAATGGGATATCAATGGGTATATCAAAAGGTATATCAATGTCATTTAAATGTTTTCGTTAAATTTCATAAAATAAAAGATTTCTCTTACGAAATATCTGTTGTGGTACAAATTAGAAAAAATAATAGAAGTACACTTGTTATTGAGATAACACACCACACAAAATATTAAACAATACATGTTTCTTTAGAATTCTGTGCTTAGAGTGAATGATTCATGCAAAATCGTTAATGATATCGCTGTTTTACCGTTTTACGTATTTACTCGAGCTCGCACGCACGCACGCACGCACACACACACACACACACACACACACACACACAAGGTGTGCGCGTGCGCCATAAGTCATTAAAAATGCCATCTTGTATACTATAATATTATAATTTTGTATTCGTTAAGTGCAAAAGAAAATTTAAGAGAAAAGTTACATTGTTTAAGAAAGCAAATAGAAACAAATTTTTTATACCATGAATGTTTTTAGATATTGTAATAAATATCTTTCTATATAAAATTATTCTATCATTTTATTTGTTCGATGGCTCATCATCAGAGCTGTCCAAGATAACAAATTCGTCATTGCTATGCTCAGAAGGTATCAATATATTTTAAATAAAAAAATAACGGGTATATCCGCCGCTTGCATGCCACATCTCTCCCTCCCCCGTTATCATCTTGAACAGCTCTGATGATGAATAAAACTCTCTATAAAACGCTCTATCAAACGAATAAAACGACATTATTAGGAGGTCAGAACTGCTTCCGGCGGGGGTTTGAAGATGTAAAACTATTTTTTCTTTAATACTACCATTATTATCTACAAAATTATACATAATTGATAACCCGGATAGCTTAAATTGGGCGAAGTTTTTTTATACCTCCAGTCATTTTGCATATAACAGTTATAAAAAGATAAATAATTTACAAAATATTTTATATTTTATTCTGATTACATAGTGTTTATGTATTTTTCTTAAAACTATGTATTTTATTAATTTTTACATAAAAATATTAAAGCAGTCATCGAAAAATAAATATTTCATATTTTGTGTCAAAATATGTAAAAATAAAATATAAATTATTTTGTAAGCTGTTTATTTTGTAATACCTGTATAATTTGTAATACCTTTACATGCGGAATAACTCGAAGAAACAAATTACTTAGAGAAAAATATATTGTTAAAAAGAATATCGATAACGTCGATATATTTTCTAAAAGATATAAAACATTTGTTTCTATCATCATAGTTGCTCTTTCGAATAGTGCAAATTTTGTTTTAACATTTTCTTTTATATTTGATGGATAAAAAATTTATTGTTTCCAACTTTTCACCTCACTTTTGAAGTGAGGTCCACCCCATTCCATCCCCTGCTCGTTTGCTTATACACCCAAACAACATATGCGTGGATGGGGGATGGATTTCATCCCTCTCCGCCCAAGCACTTACTTCAATATGCAAATAAAGTTTCAAGTATGAAGTTAAACACATACATCAATTAATGCCTGTTTATGTTGACAAAAATAAGTAGATCACATATTCTGCGATCTCTCCCAATTTTTATTAGAGCAACTCCGGTATTTACGCCGCGCGAGGATTTACGCCGCAGAAGTCAGAAAAAATAGAAGGAATAAAGATACTTGCAATCACACTGTTATGTGCCTTTATGCCATATTAGCATTGTATTGTAATTTCAGTTCTTCACTGTTAATATTAACAAAACCGTCGTGAGTTGAACCAATCTCTCACCATAGTAAGTAGCGCGATCATATATTACGACTACGTAAAATGATTACTAGAAGGAATGTAAAAAGTTTAATGGTTATTTCATGATACATAAGTGTAGAGGGATAGTAAATGATGGAATACAGCAAAATACAAGTGCATAGCTCTTGTATTTTTTATTTAGCTTGATATCTTGTATATCCCTCTTGTTTATTAGGATATACGGCATTTTTAGCATGCGGAATTTATGCCATAGTACAGACACTTTGTAAAACTCGAAATCTCCTATGTGTTCTTTTTCCTTTTTTTTTTTTGGATCGTATAACAATAATCTCTGATGCATCTCTATTCGCTCTTCTATTTTTTGCTTCCTCATAGAGGAAGCTTTGTTTTCGTAAATTACGTATATGAACCTTTGATTGCGTATAAAGTTGGGTCTAATCAATGAAATTTAAAAAAATTATATATGAAATAGGGGTAGAAAAAACTAAAGAAAAGATTGTTTTTTGAGTTTTTGATGCTAATATGTTCAGAGTATTCTAAAACATCGAAAAATTGCGTTTAAAAAATGTCCGTGTGTGTGTGTGCGTGCGTGTGCGTGTGTGTGTGTGTGCGCGCGCGCGCGTGTGTGTGTGTGTACGGATTTGATGTCCGTGGTTGCTCTAAATTCCGCAAATTTGAGATATTGAGCTCAATTTTTTTTTTTTTATGTAGAGTATTATTAAAGGAAAGTTGGTATTAAATTTGGCGGTGATTGGTAAAGGGGTAAAGATTCTTTCTTTATAAAGTTTTGATTTTTTTGAGAAATGTCCGTGGCTGCTCTAACTTCCGCAAATTTGGAGATATCGGCCTATTTCTAATTTTATTACCTTTTTCATTCTTTTGTACCCCTATTTCATATATACTTATTTAGGATTTGGTTAATTAGACCTAACTTTATACGCGATTAATAAAAGTCCATATGCGAAGTCCATATAGACCATGTAGCCTGAATTCCCAAAGTCAATATCGATTTGACATTGCGTCGATTGTAAAACCCCACTTGTGCTACTATATATAAGCTGATCCTCTACCAATTCATAAAAAGATTAAATTTAAAATTAAAAAAAGTGTGCAAATTAGAAACTTGCACATTGGTTCCTCATCATTACAGATCGCTACCATTGCTCCTATTTTATTTCGCTCATAAACCTTCTTCTATGAGGAAGCCAAACTAATATAAATACTAATAATTATGCATCGAATAAAATACAAGCTTCCTCATAAGAGGAACTTTGTGAGCGAAATATTAAAAATTTTTCAGTTTTATAATTTGTTTATTATTCTTACATCTTAATAAACTTTTTACACACATTTTATAACTTCTTATGACATTTTATTGCCTTATTTATAAATATTATTTGTAATTTTATATATATTAGGTTGGGGAAAAAGTAATTCATTATTTTTTCGCTAGATGGTTCTAGTGATATATATCACGTGATGTATTAATCGCATAGGTTATTCTATAACTGTTTTGTGATTGGTCAATTCAGTTGTGAGTTATAGCGCGTAAAATATGGACGTCAACAAAGAGAAAATTCGGTATATTTTACAATTTTGCTTCGATAAAGGCGAAAATGCAAACCAGGCAGCTGAAATTGTGAATGGTGTTCATGATCCCGATATTGTCACAGCCTATCGCGCGCAATTTTGGTTTCGTCGATTCCGTTCCGGTAATTTCTATGTTAAAGATGCACCTCGTACAGGTAGGGACCAGGGCTTCTATGAGAGAGGCATAATGAAATTACCTTTGAAATGGCAACAAATTGTAGAACAAAACGGTGCATATTGACCCAAATCGAACAATCCTAACTATGTTAAATAAAACCTTGAAATAAACGAAAAAATAATGGATTACTTTTTCCCCAACCTAATATATAAGGCGTATATATTCCACCCCCATAAATGGCATATATCCCACCCGTATGGGATATATGGCAAAAATGCAAGAATTTCTGAAAGTTTTTTTTGTTAAATACAAGGAATAAATATTTCATATTTCTAATTCTTTTATAGTAGTAGACAATATAAAGTTTTTATTGGTATAATTCAGTTGCCTTAAACATAGTAAATAGTACTTGATAAATTAAGTTGTTCTTAGGTGCGGCGTATATACCGGAGATACCCTATCGTTGTCAGAATTACAACAAAATTTTTTGTTAAGAGTAAAAAAATATCAAAATCAGGAAAAGCCAATTCTAAACAATTACCAATTGATTCAGATAGTAATTGCTAATGATTCTCTTCGACTCGCATTTCGTTTCTTTACCTCTCCCTCTTTCTCCCTCTGTATTTCTTTATGGATACGTATACGCATGCGTGCATGCGCGCGCGCGCGCGTGTGTGTAAAATAAAAAAACTAGTGTTCTATTGCGGAAGTAAGATTATAAAAATTAGTTATGATCTTTATATATATTCATATACACAGAGATAGAAAACTACCTGAAGTTCTGTTAATAGTTATGTTAATAGAGATGGAAAGCTACCTGAAGTTCTGTTAATAGTTGGACTTTTTCTATCCGTTCCGTCGTACAATACTGATTCATACCTGCTTGTCGAGAGTGGCTTGCAAATCTATTACTCGTACTGCTGAATCCTGCTCGGCTGGATCGAGACTTCCATTGCTCAATCTACTGCCAACTTCGGCGGACTTCTCTGTACCTGGTTTTTGTACCGATTGTTGTTGTTGCTGTTGCTGCTGCAGCGGTTGCAATTGATGTTGATGGTATTGTTGCTGCTGCTGCGGTTGGCTTGCTGCCTGCTCAGTCTCATTCTGCCCGATCACAACACTACATTCAGAATGCCTCGCTCGCATTGCCTCTCCAGCATCGCCGCGAAATTCCCAAAAACTACGTCTAATACTACACGACTACGCGACTGCACGATCATCATGCACGACTATGATAGATACATTCTCATGGATGCAACGAATCAATGAAATGACAAACAAAAAGTGATCTGTCGATAATTCATATATCATCCGGGACAAAAGTGCACCTGTTTAAGTGTTACTCTCGAGAAATACAAAAACATGTTTACGTAAATGTTCATGATAATTTTATGTAAAATCTTATGCGGTCTTTAATATCATGTGCAATATGAGAAACGTTTTAAATGAAATAATAAGATGACACTATTCTAGAATCACGGCGTTAGTGATAATTCAACGATAAAATGCATCAATATTTAAATAGATATTACGAAAGAAATATAATTGTACATCAATTGTATACCAACCAATAACGCGGACTCGAGTCACGGCTCTCGCTCAAACTATATAGAGAGGCTTACAGACCTCGATAATATAAAGAATCTAAAGCTTCCAAGTAAAACTTTAACAAGTGAGGGAAAGAGGGTATATATGCTAAATATGAGCATGCAAAGTGAAAAAAAGTTCCACAAATGCATTTTACGACTCTCATACAAATTTTAAACATTTCCACTTATCCATGATCGGTGCGAAGTATGAAAAGCGTATGTATCTGTGAATGTTTGTGCCTATGGGATTTGATCAAGATTATATTGGTAATACGATTTTATGATACCTTATTCTGTTGCTGAATTTCATCCGTCTGTCCATTCTCTTTTGGTCTATCATCTAACGTTTTCGGTGGATGCCCGCTTATTTTATATTGCTGGAACTGCAAACCACACTTATATTAGATGACGATAAGAGTCACAAGAGTCTAGAGTCTCAACGTTTATAACGTCTAGAACTTTCTGATTTTCCAAATATTTTATTCAGATCCAGGCAAAATTAGAACATTCTTGAAATAAACTTCTAAAAACTTTCAATACTATTTTTGTATTCCTCGGTAAAAATGTATTGAATGATTTCAAAATGAATATTATTAAATGAATTTTTACCAACAAAAATTTAAAGCCATGTAATATCTGAAAAATTGTTTATTGAAAATTCTAAACGATTTAGCAATATTTAGCTAATTTAGCATATATAAAGTAGATTATTAATGTTCACATGTTTTGACCTTTGTATATACAGTGTCACCTAATTCGCGCCCACTATTTATACAGTGATATTCCTTATCAAAAATTGAGTCAAAAAGTCATTTTTTTCTATAATACTTAATAAAGCAGTCATTATTAAGTAAAGTCAATCCGCTCATTGTCAGTGCCGTTCTTTAGCTGGCCATATGCCAGTGAACCGCGCGCCTGATAGTATGCGCTCACGCATACTATCAGGCGCGCGGCTCACTGACATACACTCATTGTCAGCTAAAGAACGGCATTGACTGGATTGACTGTACTCAGTATAATTACTGCTTTATTAAACATTATAGAAAAAAATGGCTCAGGACTTTTCGACCCAATTTTTTATAAAAAATATCGCAGTGTAAATAGTGGGCGCGAATTAAGTGATACACTATATACATTCCGCCAAATAAGAGTCTCCGCACAAGACTCTCGTATGATAGCGTAGCGTAACTTAACGTGGATCAACGCACAAGAAACGTATTGACGTATAATGTCGTAACCGATACGTTTCTTGTGCGTTGACCCACGTTTCGTTACACTACGTTACCATACGAAAGTCTTGTGCGGAGGCTCTAATTAAGGGATCGAGCGGATAGAGATAAGAAATAAGCCAATTTTAAACAGGTGTAATTTTGTTTTAAAAAATGTGAATCCAAATCTAGAAAAAGAGTTTTGAAGTTTAAAATCTCTACTTTCGAAAGGTCGCAGCTATTTTTAACTTTCTTCAATTATCCTAATTTTAACACACAGAAAACGAGCTTGATAAAGTGCGAAATTTTCTTGTTACTTTGTGGGCACATGCATAAAAAAACCTGAAATAATTTTTTGATTTTTTCATGTTAAAGCCTGAAATTTTTACAAAACCTTTTTTGTAGATTTTGATTTTGATTTTTTCTTATCAAGTTATCGAGAGTTGGAGAATAAGTGGGCATTTTTACTTTAATCGTTCATAACTCCGTTAAAAATCATATAGCAATTCCAAAAATGGAGTCCTGAAACCGAATCTTTGCTCCATAACATGGTATTACTGATTTTTTTTTAACTCGCGAATATGTTACAAATAGATGAAAATAATGGGGCAAAGCCGTTTCTTCAAACTACTATCCAAGGTCAAACCACTGACACTATCTTATGTAAATTCCAAGTTTCTTAAATATTTCTAGATAATAGACAATTTTTATTAAGGAAATATTTTTAATATTTTCGTATTTTAATTTAACAAAGTATAAAACTCACTTCCTCTTTGGTATGGGCTAGTTCCTCCTCAAGACTCGTATTTCTTTCAAGGGCCACGCGTAAACGCTCACGTACCTGAAATGGTTTCATCAGCAACAATAATCCTCTAATTACAAACATCGTACATATATACATATATACATATAGAGTGTCACGTAACATGCGGACCACTGCTTGTGGGCAGGTAGAGCGGGTAAAATTGAATCGAAAAGTCCTTTACCGTTTTGTAAATTTCTCAATAATTAATAAGAAATTAATAAATAAAGTTGTTAAGCATATGACGAGGCATTGGGAAGAGCACTAAGTAAATAACAATTGCTATACATGCAAGCATTATTTGTGCGTAGCCATTGTTATACTTATACTCCTTTTAATATTTCGCCACGCGTGAACGTTGAGCTGCTCTTTCTTGTCGAATCATATACGGACGCATTTTGATTTGTGTATCTTTATTAATTAATTATTGAGAAACTTACAAAACGGTGACAGCTGTTTTGATTCAGTTTTATTCGCTATACCTGTCCACGAGTAGTGGTTCGCATATTACATGACGCCTTGTATACGTACATATATACATATATACAAACAATGGAAAGTCGCGAGAACATTGTGTCAATTTAACATTGTGTAAGGAAAAGAAGCGCGGGAGAAAGAGAATGCATTTAAAAATGACTAAAATATTAATTTTTTTTTTAAGAGATAAATTCTGCGCATTTTAAAATACATAATTTTCAGATATATCTAAATGTTTAGAAAAAAAGAGAAATATTAAACATACGGTTTTTGCGCACATCAAGATACGTAACGCATCGCTATGATTACATAAATATCGAATAAAAGTTTTATCACTATATTCAAATATTATTAAATTCTATTATTTATGCTCCCATGCATCCCGATCTTATTCTGAAGCTGGCGTCCCATGAAGCAAATAACGCGGAAACGGAACGAGGGTATCACCAATCACGGGACCGTTTCGACAGAATCTTTGACAGGGTTCTATCAGAACGATCCCGTGATTAGTGATATGCTCGTTCCGTTCCGCGTAATCCGCTTCATGGGACGCCAGCCTAACGTTTACAAAAGTTTAAAAATAAAAGTGAAAAATGTCAAAAAGAAAAACAATTGTATAAATATAAAACATAATAAAACTGAAACAAAAGCAATACTTTGGGTTTATTTTATTTTTCAAATTAACCTCTTGTGCTATCGATCTTCCGTATCGATATGTTGATATTAAGTGTCCTTCATTTGTAATTTTAATATGAAATAGACCAAGAAAAAGAGAATAAACCATTGCAAAAAATGTGAAGTTGTGATACAAAATAGCATTAAAATCTTTGAAGCGTTCGACAAGATTTCCGTATCCAGGCTCGATTTTAATAAAATTTTACAGGCACGTAGCACTTACTAAATGTAATCGAATGTCACATGCGAATGTGCAGAAACGTATAGTTTCTAAGATATTCAAATCTTAACCCTAGAATGGTACACTTCTAAAAGTAACGTAAATGGTACACATGGGTTAGGCTAACCCGCCGTTTTCTTTTTACTATAACTTTTAATCAACTGCACATTTTAGGGCAAATTTTTTTTTTAAATCGATAGTTTAGAGTTTAGAATCTCAGACACTTGAATATTTATGTTAGAAAGCAAAAAAAAACTTTTGCACAGGAGCTATTTACAAAATTTCAAAACAAAATTTTTTTAATTGAGTAAAATTGCGGTTTTTGTTTATTTAATCATATTTCTTTTTTTAAAACGAGTTGTGACCTAATTATACTGGGATTGTAAAGGTGTATAGGTCTACTTTAAGGGGATTAATGCATATTTTCAATTACTTCCAAAAAGTATAATTATTTTGAATGGTGAATGTAGGTAATTTTTGGCTCTTAGTAACTTTTTATGGTAATAAATAAAATAAATTATATACGTAATTTGACACTAAATATTAAATGTTTTTAGTAAAAAATTGGTAAATAATCTAATGATATTAGCATTCTAATGACAAATAGCAAAAATTGAAATTATTGTACATTATTAGGTAACATTGGTGTCATAAAATCAATGAAAAAAATGTTTATTTAATTTTTCAACTCCATTTTATTACAAAATTATATTTAATTATTTTTACAAAATTAGTATATATCACGGGTTTACTAACGTTAACGGTACACTGGGTTAGTATAACCCGAAGACTAACTTTCGATGCTTCCTACTCGGCAGTTTTCAATGCGCTGGCGCTGGTTCAATTATGGGTGCAGCTTACTGTGGTAGGGAGCTCTCGAAAGTAGAGTTCCTATAATAAGAGTTAAGTCAATGTGGTGACGATTTTTTATTGATCCCGCCATATGTTTCAGCCAAGTTAGTGGGAGTAAGACAAGCTATAAGTGGGAGTGAGACAAAGCTATCATGGTCGCCATATGCTTTAGCCAAGAAGTTAGTGGGAGTGAGACAAAGTTATAACGGTGTCCTAACTCTTATTATAGAAATTCTACTCTAAAGTCCATCCCCTGGTCCAAACCCCCAATACAATATAGAAGTAGCGCAACTTTTAAAATCGCTGAGGGTTACACTACCCCAGTGTACCGTTCTAGAATTAATTATCTGGCTAAATTAACATTTTGTAAGATTTCTATAAAGAAAGATAAGAATTTAAAAATATTTCGCTGAAATGTTGTCAAGGTCATGACCCTGAACAACATTCAAAAGGTTTTAGTCGTCGCTCGTTGTTTGTTAAAAAGTTGTTAATAAATGACTGAGAAATATAACAGTTTGTGTCAATGTTAAAGTAATTTGCTGATATGTGTGTATAGATAGTATACACCCCTGCGGCAGGGGTAAATGAGGGTAGACCTCGGTTCGTGTAGAAAGTTGGGTACCCATGTGGAATCGTACAATGATAGACCACATTTCGCATTGTAAGCAAAGAGCGGTGCGGAGTGCATCTCACTTCACGTGAAAAGTTGGAAACCCATATGGTTACGTTCTACATATTTATGAAACTTCTTTTGTTAATATAACTTTTTAATAAACAATGAGAAAATAAGCTTTTCTGATCTCTTGTTTTTTTCTTTGTAATGATATTTTGACAACATTGTACTTACAGTTTCCTAATACACTAATAAAATAAAACATTTCAGCAAAATATTTTGAATTCTAATTATTTTTTCATATCGAAATCTTGAAGAATGTTAATTAAGTCGAATAATTAAAATTTTAATATCTCGGAAACTAAATGTTTCCGGCATATTCGCACTTGTGGCATTCGACTACATTTAATAGTTACATACTTCTATTTCATGAAAATAGGATCGGAATATGGAAGTTCAGCCAAGCACTCTCCTTATAATAAATCATGTTCCTCGATTTTTACGTATCTTTTTTTGAGAAGTATTAAACAAATTTTTTTTATAATTTGATATTTTTAAACAATTATAATTTAATAAAAAATCACGGATAAAGTAAATAAAACCAGGTGATTTGAATATAGTCGACCTAATTATGAAAAAAAAATATATAAAGATAAATAATTTTGTCCTATGCTTTCACAACTATATCAATCGAACATATGCGTACTTCATATTTATCTAACAATAAATACGTACTACTTAAATGCGTAACAAATTGATACGAGTATATCCGCTTACGTAAGCGTTTCTTGTTATTCTTATGTGCATCACAGGAACAACAGTAAATCAAATAGAGTACATACATCGCAGTACAACTTATAACTGACAAACAAATCTCTTTTGTTTGCCAGTAAACATACAAAAGTTTTTTGTTCGCATCCTGTAACCAAAAATTTAGAGTCAATTCAAATTAAAATTGACTTTAGTTTCCTCTTTTTTTCGCAGCGTATATTATCTCTCTCATAAAAGAAATCTTTGTAAATCAATCCTAATTCTGTAAAAAATCACAATGGCAATATAATGGCATTTGATGAAATGGTATAAAATACCTTTTCGTCCAAAGCTTTGTGGTGCTCGAAAAGGCTTTTCAAAGCTTTCAGCACTTCTACCTCAGATGATACACCAGATTGCGCAGCGGCTTGACGTTTCACAACCGTCATCCTGAGTGATCGTTCATGTCGCGATACTAAACACTCTAGATGTTCCAATAAGAGCTGCAAATATCGATAATGAAGCATGTTAATGACAAAGCTATAATATTAATTTTTCATCATTAATCCTTTATTAATTCTTCATCATTAACCTACAAATTTTTATTTATTACATTTACTTGTTATTCTTATTGTGCTTCAAATGTAAACATTTATCTATTAAGAAAAAAATGTTCAAAGAGCCTACAAAGTCCTGTCAGGCTATAAAGAGTTGTTAGAATGCTTAAAAATGTCAGAAATACGCACACGTGTGTTATTTCGTTCCGCTTTTAATTCGGAAATTTCCTCTTCTCTTTCGAGAATGCTCTCTCGCGCCGCCGCCAGTTCTTTTGTCAGCTGTGAAAATTCCTGTAACAAAACGGTGCACATTAATATCAAAGAATTACTTTACAAGAGAAACAGATAAAAAAGATGTCAAGAATACACGCCGCGCCTATTGATAAAGGTATTATACGGAAATATGATCATATTAATATATTTTTAAATAAAGCGTAACAATTTAATTTAAAAGATATTAAAATCAATATAAATATTATATACGCAATACTATTGTTTAAAAATGTGTTTCTCATAAAAGGAGTGACAGCAGAAAATTGCGACAATAAAGAATAAAAATTAAGCAGTATATATACGATTTAATTCTGTCACATTAACGTGTTTGGAGATATCTTATATATATCTATAGTATAATATTTTAAAACATTTTATAATATCAAAATCAGCTCAATGACTAATTTGTTTAATGTACTTTACTCTTGTACGTAACGCTAGCATACTCTCGATGAATTTTGTTAACTTCAACAATAAACGATTGAGATCAAGATATTTTAAGAACAGCAAATTCTGGAAGCATATTTTAATACCAAAATCAGCACAGCAACTGTTTAATACATCTTATACTTGTAACTTTGAGCGTCCTCGATAATTTCTAAACTTGTTCCATAAGCAATAAAAATTTCCAGTAAGTATTTTACTAGTATTTGATTTAAAAAAACAGTTTAGTATTAAACTTATATGGTAAACTTTTTATTTTTGACCACTTTGCTCTTATGTGGTTATGATAACCGCACAGTAAAATAATTTGTTATTTATGTTAAATATAACATAAATCACATGTCCCAAACAATTCACTCTAATTTTTGTGTTAATTTAACATAATGTGAATATGTCAAATTATGACACAAATATTATGTCCATAATTTAACACATTTGATTTAATTAAATATAAATTTAACACAAAAAAAATCAAATAACAATCAAAATTAGTGAAATTAACACATAAGTATGTTACATTTTTAATACAAAAACATTTTTAACAAGGTTCATTTTTAACAAAAATACACAAAATTTTTTACTGTGCGGTATTAGTACATCTGTTGGAGTAAGGACTAGCGTTGATCAATGCGCTCTTCTTTAGTAGAGTTGAGAATAATTCTTTTTCTTTTATTTTATAAACCATGCTGTGAATCCTTGTTTTGCGTTTCTCGCCGTACTGTGGCGCTACTCTTTATATATATATAT